ATCTTAACTACAATGTAATCGTCACCCAAACAGTATACCTCCCAATGTTAGCCAGTGCTATCAATGTTCCTGCAGTTTACGCTACTGTTTCGATATCAGCGAATCTCAGACTTTCACGATATCGTGCGATCGACATGTGATTGACAATCGCTGATTGTGCATCAAATTCCTGTCCACGAGTGATCACAATTAGTATACATTAATGAATGTGAATATTCTGGAGTACCGATGTGTGCATGTTTGTTTGAACATTTTACTTTGTTCTCACATAAGTACTTAGAACATTTCATTTTTATTATTAACTTTATATAAGTTAATCCTTTATTCCAACAAAATTACACGAATATTTATGATTGTAGAATTCTGTTGTGTAGCTGCCATACGAAGTTTATATCGATAATTGAAAATTTTATTAATGACATAGATACCTTACTGTTTATTATTAAATTATAGTTATCATTATTTAGTATTAACACTAGAACTATGAAACATGTGAAAACGACGGACCTTATTTTACTGTTACTGAAATCGTAAAAGTGTTGGAATTTACATTGACTTAATTTATTACACAATTTTAGATTACGCTATGTTATATTATATAATTTCATTTAGTGTAGATTCAACGCAGATAGTTTTAGTGGTAAATTGAATACTTTGTTGCTGTTATTATTAACATTATATTACATTTTTACATAAAGTTTTGTAAACATTAGAACTACCAGCATTAATGTATATTAAATTAAATTCAATGATATAATAGTATTGTACAATATATGATACAGTATAATGACATAATATAGTATAATATAAAATATCTAGTTAATTATAAATCAAATGAATTCCGCCAAAAGCGCCATTATGATTTTAGTAATTGAAAAATAAAAAATTTGTAATCCGTCATTTTTACGGGTTTGGTGGTTCTAGTGTTAATATAGATAGTGTAACAGTATTACCCTTCATGACTGAATTAAATTAATTTCTATTTATTAGAAAGCTTTAGAAACTACTTTAAGGAAAATTCATTCCTAAGCAGTATTTAGTCAAAATGATGTTGCACTTCAAAAATGCAAGTGACTACCTTCGGAATTCCCGACAGTGTCAAATTACGATAAAATAATGTCGCGTAAGCAATCAATGAACAGGGACCGAACAATGACTTTCTCTTCTAAGAATTATTGCTGCATACGCTGAAAACGTGTTTTGTAACTGTTCCTTTCTAATCGATTAAGTACTCGTATCTAAGAAAACGGAAGATCTCTGTGCGAACCTCAGACAACAAGTACAAAAAGTGAATCACGAATGAACGTATACCATCTTTGAAGAATATTCACTCAAAGTAAACAAAATTTAACTAATTTGACTAATATATAGGCTAAGTCATTTAAATCGATCCACTTGGATATCTTTGAAACTGTTGATGACACCGAAAAACGTTTATATGGCGAATCATTTGGTGTAAGTAGTTTTTTCGCAGCTGGACGCGTAGAGGACAATCCACCCCTACAATACTGTCCACACAATACAGAACACCCCGTATAGTATCTACCTATATGCGACATAGATTGTTACAACACAAGAGGAGCTGTAACTCGAAAGAAAGCTCATATCGGACATATGCTTATATGAACTTTTTTTCTTATTTCAGTATGCTGAATGCACCCCTGCTGTACTTCCCACATGCAATGAGACACCCTGCATTATATGTTCCAATACTTCTTACATGCATTCAAATTAACTAATAATAAATGAACAAATTAATAATAATAACCGAAAAAGTTATCTAATTCTCCGGTTATTCTGCTTTCATTAATTTCCTTATAATTGAAAGAAAAGACTCGAAGAAAGGCTTACAAAGAAGTTAAGACGTCAAGCGCTATGTTGGTCCCTGGAGACCGACAGCATCAAATTTATCTTTTGCTCATAAACAGACGCATTTTCTATGTTTACGCGCAGACGAAACGAAATATCGACCATAATTAACTTCTCGCTTAGCGTGTTAACTGATACACCGACGGTACTTATAGATTACATCAGACAAATATACTTATTCGTATCTGTCAAGTACTCGAAGCTCAGAGACCAATTACACGTGTTGCTCCTACCTACACATGCCGTGACAGTTTGCTCCAGTTTATCGTGCGTTTGACAGATCAGTAATGTTCAACGTTCTCCGCCGAACAATCAAGCGGCTGATCGTCGCTGGACGATGAGCTACCTTCACGTTTCGATCTGTTAATTCCGAGGTTCGAATTGGGAACGTTTGATAATTGGCCAAGGGGACTCAACGAGTTTATAAAAGTAGCGGCGCTGCTGATCTTGTAATTGACTACTGTATTCGACTTCGGTTCTCTCAGTAAACGACAAGCGTATATAGGAACCGAACCTTCTTACAGGCCTTCAGAAGCGAATTTCAAGATGTAAGTTTCTAAAACAAGTTTTTATTATTCGTAAATACACGATAAAATCCATCACGTGAGAAACGAGTCAGAAAAGATTCAACACTTGAACATAAAACAAAAGACTCTATTTAACATTGTTTCGCGAATTGTGAAGGATAAGCAAATGTAACAATTCAGTTTTTTTATTTAATATGGTGAGGAAGTTTAAATTACTTATATGTTTACTGAAAACACGTGACAAATGCTTGCGAAGGTCACAGTATAAGGAACACGAAAAGCCGACACTTTCATGTGGTGAATAATCTACGAGTTGCCTAGTAATATTTTTCATATACAATTTAACGCACCTTTGTTAAACATTTTAGTAAAAACACAAATGTTATTCTAATATTGAACCGATTGAACTCTCATATATAGTTTGACCTAAGCAGGGAATGAATACCCCCCCCCCCCCTTCCCCGCCGCCCAATATGAATATTATATACAAAAACGAGTAAATTAAGTCATTAAAATAGGCAAATGGTTAGATGTTCATTTTTTTTCAACTTCTTCAATATTCCCGCCATTGGTTAGATATGTTCATTTACTTAATATTGTTCATTCATTGGTGAAATCTGTTTTTATCTTTTTAATTTAATTAATGACACTTTTCCAATTTTTCAAATTGAAATTTATACATTAAAAGAACGTATAGATGTTAAAAATTATAAGTTTCATGTGCCAAATATTTATTAATATTATTATTATGTAAAATGTGACTTTACTATTTAAAAACTCTCTCAAGTGTTCATTCATTGGTACGTTTACCCTATTCCTTACCTCCTTCGTTTACCCTAAAAGAAGAATATTTTATAAGGTTACATATTTAAAAATAGTGATCAAATTCTAATTGTAAGACAGTTTCACTACGATGCTAACAACTTGTATTACCAGGATAAACCTGTTCACTCACAATATGTTAGCGTAAAACTTTCAATATGAATATCCAATTATTCATACTCTAATGCAAATTGAAACATCCAACAAGCAATGCTTGCATGTTTTTGAAAACGGGGAATGAGTATTATAAACAAAGTATTCTAACCATGTAATGTGCCAAATAAGCATCCTAACTTCGAATGTAACGTGTGTAACTTGCATTGATATAAATTTTTAACTTCGATTATACGTATCACTTCTAAATCGTACCAATCATAAATGACATTTTAATAGCCCGTTGCTTCATACGATTAATTTCGTCAATCGGGTAACGTTGATCGCGATTTCTGACGACAAAATTTTTAGTCTAACCGATTCAATGAATTCGTTCAAAAAATTAGTGGAGCAATAATTGAAAATAAATGGGTATTTCTTATAACTTTTTTTCCCAAGTATGTCAACGGGATCTAATGAAACAGTAATAGAGCAAAATAAACTTTCATTCTTCAAGAATGACAATATGAAACAACGTAAATTTATACATTTATTGCACTTGGGAATTTGCAAAGCATACAGTTTAAAACAATTTTGATTCTATGTTTATTTTAATTAAACTCTTAATAAAAGCAAATGACCTAAAATTACGCATTTATAATTAATAATATCGTAGTCATGATATTTATAATTTTATTGAAGAATTTATTATGAAATTTTTATATTCTACATTTATATAATTTCATTTATCAATCCAAATGTCTAATAAAATGTTGCAATCCCTTTCTAATAGAATACATAATCCGAAACTTTTAAATGATTTGTACATAAGAGTGATGCATATAAAACACGACAACTGAGTATTCTTAAAAACATTGAGGACATCGAAAAATATTACTGCGTAAATTCAAGTAGACTTTCGATGCAAACGTTCCACGTAATTTACCTTCTTGTGAGAAAGATGTCACGGAAATTCCATAGTCCTCACCTTCTTAACGTTACTGGTTACTGTGTGTTTTCCAGTATGCACAAGTGTAATTCGCATTCAGGCACCTTCGGTAACTATAGTTATTCAACTATGTTCAGCATAAAGTAACTGCGATCGCTGAATTCGCTCCAATGTGAATTAAACATATGTACAATAAAAAGAACGCAATTTCGTTAAACGTAAACTTAGTGACCTTAAAATTTTAACTTGACCTAAAACTTTCACTCTGCCTGGAGACTTTTTTCTCAACATCAAAACAGATTTTAAAAATATGAATTTTCCCATCTTTACGTCCAATTATTAATTAAGATCCACTTGAAGTTTGTTACTTGTAAAATAGTAACCACAATAGCCGTGAATGTGTGAAGAACACAGTCCGCATAAATTGTCGACGCAAACGGCGGGGAGGCGGGGGGCAACGAAACTGTTTGCTCGAATACATTTGTCAGTGCATTATACATAGGCAAACAATAATTTATGTAGATAAGGCCAATGATTATACGCGTGACTTTAGACTCGTTTCGTTTCCACTTCCACCGATGCGAGTTCATTGCCATTGAAACGTTTCGCTTGGTACACTCATGAGGGATATAAGGACTAGGTATGGGACACAGTGATTCCTTCAGGGAGAACACACCGCGGTGTGTCGAAAGGAATATCGTGTGAAAGTGATCGCGCAAGATGGCTGATTGATACCCGCCAAGCCATTCACGGAGCGTGAAACAGTGAGGTTGGACGTGCGTTAAACTGGAGAGAACGCGAATGGAACCCATATAGACGAGAATTTCGTTACGTGAGAAATGTAAAAATAGATCCCGAAAATTCAGATGGATGGTAACCGGTTATTCTGAAGTGAATTAAGGAGGAAAACGGTCGATGGTGTCTGAGGTACGCAATGTTCTCAAAGTAATTGGACATAATTTCGGGATTATATGTTTAGTTTACAATTACTTGACAGCTTTTTGGAAGAAATACGTTTTGCATTTACATGAATGAATCTAAATCATTTTGCAAGATCACATTATTTTGAGAACAGCAACGGGATTTTTTAGTTTTAAGAAAAAAATTCTTCTGTAAATCTTCGATTGATCTATTATCACGAATCATTCAATCGTAAATTTTCAACTAGCATTATCATTATATGTTTCATAGTCTAATGCAAAAATCTAGACTAGTGTAATGTAGAATAACTTGGGAATAATTTGTTTAAATAACTAATACCTTTGTCGAAAATATCCTAATAATATCTTTTGTTTACAGTAGTTACATTAATTTTAATCACCAATTTCAGTAAGAAAAAGGTAACATTCAATCTGTTAAATAAGTAGCTGAAATTTAATAATTAAAACGAAGAATATTAAAAAAGTCTATAAAGCTTATAATTCACAAGTTCAATTATGCTAATTCTTTTATAGGAAAGTATAATTTATGAATAGGTTGTATTATACATATACATATACATATATTCATACGTACACGTGAAATTTAAGGAGGAATTTGAAATAAGGATTTTATTATTCGTTATTTTATTGACATTCGAATATTCATGTATGTACATTCGACTGTGTATTTGTCATTAACAAAATTATTCTTAATTAAACGTGTACTTCACAAAGTCATAAACAAATTTTGTACAAAACCATTTTAGTATGTAATTAGCAAACATTTACCTAATAAAACTTATAAATAAATTTTAAAGAAAACAGAGTTTTATGTAAATATGTTAGTTGGTGAAATTATTGGAAATAAGTGTAATTGAAGAAATAGTATTTGAATTTTTAGTACAGGAAATTTAATAGAGAAGGTAAACAATTAAAACAAAAAGGAATAACATGCAAAAACTTCTGAACGGAATAAAAAATAACTAAAAAGTCACAATAAAATTGTTTGCAATAAAATAAATCCAAGTTATGAATACAAAAATTCAAAAATACAATTTACATATTTGAAAGTTATGGTTGTAGACTGACATGATATTCAGTATCAGGAATAATTTTTTCATACATACATTATTGACTACACAGTTACAACTGACACCAATGCATTAATTGCATGATATCAGTTCATTCAATTTGCTGCATGATAAACCACACACATATATGTATATACCAAACCTGTCAAGTCGATTAGTATTCACAAAAAACACGATTCTTTCAAATGAATTATTGAACAAAACAAACTGTTTCCCATATTGTTTATTACTCTCGACCTCACCAATTTAAACACCATTCCTGTTTGCAAGAATGAAAATAAAAACGGTAGAAGTAGGTACTCATTTGATGCAAATTCTGATTATTAAAAAGCAATAATAATTAATACACTAAAATCAAATTCTTCTTAACAAAAAAAAAACAATAGGACTTGTAAGTTAAGTTAAACAATTAATAGCCTATTAAAGCAATAAAATGGGTAAATTATTCTTAGAAATTGTTGATAAAATAATTTATTACGAAGTTCAAACTACTAATAAATAAACAGTACACACTAGTAAAGGTAATTAGGAATACAGAATGAAAATGATACACGGGATTTATTAACAAAATGATATTACCGGAGATTTATTGATGAGACAAATCTAGCAGCAAGTTACGTAACAAAATAATTCTTCATCATGTAACCAAAATGATTTTATATACAGAGTGATTTACCTAACGTAACCACCTCGATTACTCATAAATTACTGGTTGTATGAAATAGTATTTTAGACAAAAGTTTCATGGTATCAAGGGAAACATATAATGCAATAGTAATAACTGTTTAAAAAGTTCAACCCGGAATTAATTTTTTTATATGCAGCTTAATATTCTGTATTCCGTAATTTGATATTGTTTGCACAGCTCTTTAAATTATTTATCTGACGAAGAATAGTACTTTTACTTTAAAATGTAGCGCGAGTTTCGTTTGCAACCGCCGAAGGTCATAACCGCGACGGAAAGCAAGGCCGTGTGTGTTATAAAGTATATAAAATAACAATGGATAGTATAAGACATCGTTAATGCCTGAACTCTTTTGACATTTTGCATCGACGAAGTTTATCAATCGGGAGAAAAAGTTATCGGATACACGAACTTTTATGAAATTAGGGTAATCGACCGTAGTTCCAGTCGGTGACTACGGAAATCGCTGATAACTATACGGTGTACACGTGATAACAAGTTACACACGCTTGTATGAAGATTGCGGAGTGGTTCAGTCGAATACCGAACGTTTCGTGATAACTTCCGGAAACGTTGCTAAATAGACTGTTTCGTACGAGCAAGGATAAGAAGTAGTGGAATTCAACATTTCAAAACAAAAGGTTTTATTTTTAACGGCTTACTGCAAATTTCGTGTTTGATGAAATTTAGACAGAATAGAGGACAATAGATTAAATAAAATAGTACATTAATATTGTAGAATTGATAAAGTCGCAGGAAACCATTAACACAGACTGTAAAACATTCAATATCCCTTTTATTTAGACAAAATATCAGAAAATTCTTTTTATTACTCTGAACCTAACCCAGAACTAAATTAAATCCAGAATTAAAAGACCCGGTATACTTTTTTAGTGTAATGGATTCATACGTGTATTTTATACATTATTAATTTAAGGTTCAAAATTACCCTTCGTTTATGAATCTTTCTTAGTGACAACACACATCTAGGGTATTTGAACGAAGATTTTTTCATACACACTCATCATCGAAAAAAAACATGTATCAATTTCTTAAAACGAACGTTATGTGGTTTACTTTGTGTGCAAATGACTGAATTTTACACCTTCTATTAATTGTATCACTAAATAATCAGAATTTTGAAAAATATATACAGCTTTCGTTAATAGAGTCCGAATAAAAACACTTACCAGCTGAAATTATTGAATAAAACCGTAATTATTGAAATTTTTCATTAACTGCAATGAAATAGTCTATCAATTTTGATCTTTTATCGTAACTAGAGGATCATGTGAAACCTATATCACTGATTTTCGAAAACTATTATCTAACAGAACTGTACTACAAGCCTACTACTATTTGTATTATGCTGCACTAGGTCTAATATATTTCATATATAATATTTACCTGTAATTATTATATGTATTTTTTCAGACCAAACATCATCGAAGACGTTCAACGAAACTCCCACCATCAACTAACCGCGAGGAGTCACACCATTATAAAAAGTCTAACAAGCAATACAGACGATGAAGATTCAAGGCCGCCAACAAATTTCGTAAAAAGTACATCCAATGTATTCTCGGTGTTCGAAGAATCCATCCAGTCACTGTACAGAGTACCAGCTTCAGTGAGTGATCCAGTTCTCCGTGGGCACTGGAACAGGCCACTTCATACGTACGTTCGCGCGTCCCGTTACTTCCAACTTCGTTATCAATTCGTTTCGCCTCATAAACCTTTCTAGAGGACTATTTTCCGAGTGTGACTAGCAGTGGCAGAGCGAACAGGCGAGCATCAGCAGAAGAAAGTAAAAAAGGAAGAAGAAGACTATAAGTAAGAGAAGACAATAAGATATTGCTACAAAAAAAAACGAGAAATATACGATAAAACAATGCAATAGACGAGAAAAGAGTTCTTATCGTTCTTATTCTATAAAAATTATCAGCAGAGAACTGATTCTTGGATGAAGTAGACACAAGAAAAACTTTCATCCGAAGATGATAGAAGAAGAAGAAATAAATGCACGATTATAGTCAAAAGTTTACAGAAGCTAAAAGATAAAAAGAACAGATCGAACCTAGCAGAAAAAAATCTCAAGGAATACCAGAATCTCATTCCAAAACTATACTTTAAGAAAAAGACTCTCGCGCATAGACATGTAATAGGTAGTCCTTAATCTATGGAAACCTAAAGAAATCTCTCGTATCTAATCCGAGTATAAGCTCACGTAAACCCTCCATTACTTTTATCCTCACATCTGCCACCCAGAGTAAATCATGGCCAACGTCGACAGAAATCTCGAAGAGCTAATGTCTCACCTGGGCGAGTTTGGCAAATACCAATGCTGGCAATTCTCCTTACACATCATCGGTGCCCTAACAGCAGGGCTTCACATGCTAACACTGTTAACAGTAGCAGCTGTTCCTCCCCACACATGCAATGTCCCGAACTCATCGGAAACTTCAAACTTTTCAACAACAGCATGGAACTCGTCATTACTCACCGAATGGAGCCCTCGAGCTGTAGACGCTTGTCACTACTTGGACGCCTCGAATACCATACAAGAATGTGAATCTTGGACCTACGACACTCAGTACTTCCAATCATCCCGAGGAATGGAGTGGAATTTCGTCTGTTCCCAACGTTGGATGGGCTCAGTAGCCCAGGCAACCTACATGTTCGGCGTTTTTATCGGTGCAGTGACCCTGGGCAGCTTGGCAGACAAGTATGGCCGCAAGATTATCTTCTATATATCATCGGTAGCCCAACTGATCCTCGGAGTGACCGTAGCCTTGGTGGACAAATACTATATTTTCCTATTTCTGAGATTCCTCTATGGAATCTTTGGATCGGCTGGCGCCTACATCACAGGATTCGTGTTGACCATGGAGCTAGTTGGAGCATCCAAAAGAACAGTCTGCGGAGTGATGTTCCAGTTAGCGTTTGCAGTTGGATTCATGCTGGTGGCTGTTTGGGGAGCCATAATCAAGGACAGAATGTGGTTACAAATCGTCTACGGATTACACAGTGCCCTCTTAATCGGTCACTGGTGGCTCATGGACGAATCACCAAGATGGCTTTGGGCTCAAGGTCGAGTCAGTGAAGCTCTAGTGATAGTTCGAAAAGGTTTGAAGATGAATGGTAACAACGTGGACATCGATGCAGCTAAACTGATCAGTGAAGCGAAGGTTCGGCACGTCAGACACGAAGACAGATCCTACGGAGCTCTAGATCTTGTCAGGACACCTAACTTGAGAAAGAAGACGTTAAACGTCTGCTTGAACTGGTTTGCCAACTCCATTGTCTACTACGGATTGTCTCTGAACGCCGGAAATCTGGTTGGCAATCCTTTTCTGATGTTGTTCCTTAGTGGTCTTGTTGAGATACCATCTTACGTTCTAATGTGCTGTTTAATGGACAGAACTGGGAGGAGGTGCATTCTCAGTACTTTCATGTTGATTGGTGGACTCTGTTGTATTATTGCGTCTAGTGTACCGACCGGAACCAGTGCAGCTGCTTCTACAATTGTGTTCATTGTTTTGTTTGGGAAAGCCTGTATAGCTGGCTCTTTTGCTGTTATTTATAATTATACCGCAGAGTTATTCCCTACTGTGGTCAGGAACACCGCGCTAGGAATTGGATCTATGTGTGCTAGGCTCAGTGGAGCTTTGACACCGATGATCATGTTGTTGGACTCATTTAATCCCAAAGTTCCTGCGGTTTTGTTTGGATTTGTGGCATTGGTGTCTGGATTCTTATCGTTGTATCTGCCCGAGACTGTTAATCAGCCAATGCCTGAGACAATTGAAGACGGTGAGAACTTTGGCAAGGGTGATACTTGTTTCACGACATGTTGTGGATCGAGGAGGAAAACTAGTGCTAGCTATGAAGTGACGATGAACCAGCTGGGGGAGAGGGATGAGAAGGAAAGGCTTAATCAAGTTGAGGTTGCAAAGTGAATTTGCGGATAGATTTTTAATGACAGTGGACTGTGAAGATGATGAGAAATTCTAGGTGATGCTGCAGTGGTTCTCAATGGAGATTATTGACAATAGAACAGAACTACTAATTCAATTTAGTACTTTAATCTATATGAATTAAATCCATACTGTGAGTGAATTGAACGGGATAAATGAAGTATAGACTTCGAAATAAAAAATAAATAATCTTTGATTAGAAATAATAATAAATGCATATATTGATTCAATTAATAAATTATAAATTTAACTTCAATCATTAAAAACATACGTTCGTACGTTTATCTCCGAATTAGTAAATTGGAGATGCATACGTTAATTCAACTCAATTAGTTCATAACATGGTTATTTGTAAGATATGTATATGTGCGTTTTAAACATAAATATTCAGATTTTCAATGGTAACTATATTATCGGATCAACCAACTATGATAATTCTATTAGTAACTTGATTTTTGAACAATTGTATTGTACAAATTGTTTGAAATGTATTAATGTTAGTTACTTTATCATACATATAAGGTAAATCTAGTTATGTGAATGAATGAAATTCTCATATAATTACCACAAGTAATAACACGATTCATTGAGAACCATTGTGTCCGATAACGAGCTATATTTGTTGCAAAATTATTTTGTAATATGGTGCAGTAGTATACGATTACGATAGCTAACATATGTATGTACTTACATACGGGGGGTTTACGATTACGATCGTAATACGATCATTGCAGCGAAGCAGTCCTGCCTATGGATAATTTATGCGTACATTTAATCACGTGTACGAATTCGAAAAACCTTCGGTTGTATTAGATGGAATTGTGTGAAAAGTAAAAACTGACTTATATTTCTCTGTCTATTAGCCCATATTATATTAAATAAAATTAAATGTGTCATAAACACGGACATTAACGCATAAAAGTAAATAACGAGATCAGAATCTAAAAGGAAATAACTTCAAATTTTCTTATTATGACGATAACAACAATTCCATACAGCGTCTATATCTATGAATTATATGCAAAATGTATTATATGTGATCACATTACGAGTTCAAATAGGAAATTTTACATCGCTATGATGTCTCAAGAATATATTTTTTTAACCATTCAGAAGCTAAAATATCACGTAATAAACAATACTTACATTGAAAATCCTACGTCGTTGAAGTACATACTTTTACATAGTACCAGAAAAGAATTGTTATAAATACCGTTTACAGTGTCACACATTCTTCACACTTAGCTTTATCCCTGACACTTACTTCAAATAACAATGACACATTGATATATTCAGTACAACGTAAGTTTTTTTAAGCTGTACACTTATTTTTCAAAAACGTTTGAACACATTCGTGACTCACTGTTCAACATAGATGAATTATATGCAACTGGTTATTTAAACAAAGAGACGCACAATGGCTGTACGTATATTCTTATAATAATATTTTCTCGAACCGACATTTATTTTCCCTTATGCTATTAAACATACGGAAGCATATAATTAATTTAGAATAAACAAAGAATACGTTTAGGTAAATGGAATAAACGTTTAACTTGTAGTAGTATATTTAGTTCGTTATATGATATTGTTTTATACAGTGTGTTCCTTTTAACTGTAAACGCTGGAATATCTCGTAGACCGTTAAAGGTATGAAGAAATTCTCAGTATGAAAATTGTTTGGTATAGAGGGGGATATTATATCGTGTAGTTTTTTGTACCTACATGATATGTATGTAATCATACAATTGCAGGAATGATCTCAACGTCAAATTATTCTTTTAAGTGGAATATTATATACCATTCATAATATGATAGCGTTTGTTAAAACGAGTACAACGATGTGTCACATAAGATCATTATGTGTAGCACAAGGTCATAAATTAGTGAGGTTCGAAGGGATCCGACGTTTTATACGCAAAATGACACTAGGAATCAACTTATACAAAAAAATTGTGGTGTTCCATTTTAAAAAAGGGCAATTGCATTTTGCGAGTGCTCTGATGAATGAAAAAAAAATCGGTTGATATTTAAAATAGGGGAGGCAGCTCCGATGACTTTGACCTTGACATATGTTGTCAAGGTCACCTTCCTCAGTGACAGTCAGAAAGTTTTGGCCGTCGCTCGTTTTTTATTAAAAAGTTATAAACAAAACAAGTCTGCAAAATGCAGCAGTTATTATAGTCAGAACTATTAAAGGGCTACAATGACCTTGACCTTGACATATGTAGTGAAAGTCACCCTCCTGAGTGATCTTAAGAAAGCTTTTGCCGTCGCTCTTTATTTGTTAAAAAGTTATTAACAAATAGTTTTCACAGTATAAAGGTGTACAATTAACTCCATAATTTATTTACTGGTAAAAAAAAAAAAAATATAATATGGTCAAGGTCATCGAAGCTGCCGCCCTTATTCTAAATATTTACCAAAAAATCATATAGTCGGATTATAGCGATTGTTAAACAGTGCAAAATGTTCCTCTATGTTTTTTTTTACCTTCACTTGGAACAGAGCTATAGCAGCTTAGCTCAGTTTCCAGTCACCCTGTATACTACCAAACCCTACGTAAACGTGGTACAAAGTCGAACCAAACCCCGCGATTCGCATTTATGTATCTGACTACTTAGCATCTCGGTGTAATTTATGATATTTTACTACATTGAGTGGCCGTACGTAGCAACTCGTCTTAACAAACGTTACCGTATTATGAATAATACCTTATGAATAATACGCGATAATTTACAAACTGTTGACCTTGAAATCTCACAGTTACATATACAAAAAACTACTTACGTCACACAATGTTTTCATATTTTAAAAATAAAAGAAATACACTATATAATATGTCTATGTTCCTAGTATAATTGAGCACCGTTTCGTTCGTATGTACGTTGTTAGTATATTCTATGATACAACTGTCTGAAAACTTGTTCATGATGGTAAGGATTTGTGTTGTTCAATATACATATAGTATTAACTGTGCGCAACTTCTTGATTTTTAATCCCTTGACACTAATAAATAATTTTCTCTAATATACTTTTCTTGAATTGTTAATTGTAATCTAAATAACTTTTTCTATGTCCTGATCAATACTTTCAATCGAATACTTTTGGTTAACTTTGAGTTAACCGTATAAGTTATAGAGACGTCCCCACGTGTAACGCTAACTTTTTAATGAGATTTAGTACAATGATAGAGTTTTGAATTCTGAAGCCAATGATCTTTGTTTCAACAGCATACGGCCATTAATTTATGAAATATTTCATTGTCAGTGCCGAGGAGCCTTCGAACACTCATCAATGATTTACTATAGTGTTATATTTAGATTATGATTTGTGTAGGTTTTACCTTAATTTAAAGTAATTGAACCCACCTAATCCTATGAAACCTAAGCAAAATTTGATGTCTATTAGTTTTTTACAACGTTTTATTTCATGTATCCTAAAATTATTAAGCATTGTATCAAGAAACTTGTAACTTATTGATGAGAGTGTGTCGATTCAAATAAATCTTAATTCGTTTTAAGAGAAGTAGTAATTATTCAAACTTTGCAGTTCAAAATCGACATTTATTGTATAACAACGATTAAATATTTTTACTAGCTCTGTTTATTTTATAGTTATTTGACTTAAAAGGATATTTCACCCGCTAAACGTGACTCTCCGCCTATAAAAAAATAAGTGACGAATATTTTCGTCTACCAAGTTTTACTCAAAACCAGTACATATCAGTCGAGTAATCTACCTTGTGTATAAATTGAACTGTCGATGAGTTCCGTCTGAGTCCAGTTAGGAGCTGCTAAGTTGCCGAGCTCCTCCAAACTGAACGACATAAGGACAAGAGACGTGGTCGTCTGCTCCACCTAATCCCCTCCATGGATCCCCCAGTAGCTGTCACACTGCATACGCATAGAATTTGCGTATTCGTGGGGCAATAAAAATAATATTGCATTCTTTAGAGAACGTCGTGGAATCCGATTGATAATATTCCTCTAAGCCCAACTTCTTTACACAGAACCGTAGCATATTGGGCACACGTATTGTCCATAATGGCCAGCGCGATGACATCACTCAAACAGACCATACAACACCGCGTGACGAAGAAAGATGTCAGGCAAGGCAAGCGAACTGCTCCTCTTGCTTCTGTGCCGTCTCCCTGGTCATCCGAGCAATGCACTTTCTCTCTGCTTAACCCTTTTAGTGCCGAAGGCCGATATATCGGCTCTTGCTGCACTGGCGAGAAGTGCCAGAGCCGATATATCGGCCCGCGACTTATAGCGCTTTACTATTCGCATTGCGGGAGAACTCTATCTCAAAATAAATTTATAATACGTTATGAATGGTCTAATTTCATTACGAGAGAATTAAAAAAAATAGTTTTTCGTTTTAACTCTTTGTGGACGACGACTTTTTCCTATCGCTTGGAGCTAACGAAATCTAACATAAACACCGATGGTCGCCGCTCGTGGCGTTGGGCCCTTATCGGAACATGTCGACAGCGTTTTATAAACAACTGTTTGAAGACTCTCACGAAATAAGATCGCATTGCCGCAGCGAGACGTGGATCAGTTAGTTTTTCTTCGATCGTTATCGTGAGCAGTATATTTCGTTTTGTCCCAGTGACAGTGTGAAAGCGTCATTTTTGTTATCGCCGTTGTTTTCCGCTAGTGTCAAACAATTTTGTTTTATTCAGCAATGTTATATTACCTATAACAATTACGTATTTCGGAAGAGATAATCCGTCCGGCGCTTACCATGTACCTTCGAGTTATTTTTTATGTTTGTTATGTAATATTATTTATCTTGTTACAAAATATATCGGAAATGCAAAGTATATACTTTGTAATAAATGGTCTATATAAAATTATGATGAAAAGATGACTTTTTGTATGTGCAAATACGTTTTGTAAGAGAGAACTGGACTTTTACTTTCTTTATGATCTTTTATACCTTTGTTACTTATATAATTTTCAATGAATGTAGAAAAACTAGTGTCATTGTTTTGTTCTCTATTTCGTCCTTAATATATTGCTTTTTGAATCATGTAAATATTGTTTATTGTTTGGTTTTTATGACCATTTTCCCAAACCCTAGTAAAACCGTGAAATTCGGCCGGTTATTTTCGCATAGGCACCTCTTTTTCGCCTG